TACAAGGGTTGTAGTGATTGTGAACAACATAACACTTGTCTGACATTATAATAGAATATATATTTTATGTAATTTCAAGGATCTGAAACCTCGGGGAAAGTCTGTCTGACATGTTAACAAAATAACAATGTGTAAAAGTTTCAACTGTATATTAATAATAAGCCAGAAATCTGGTATATTGCTCATTCAAAACACAAAATCTACCTCCAAGAGATCCCTCTGGAACATATGAGAATATTACATAGTCATCATGAAAAGACCTGAAAATTATGTGTCAAAAATTGATAATATACAAAAATGGAAGGCTGCACTAAATCATGAGTGACTGTTTCTTAGGCAATAGAGAATGGTTTATAAGACCATTTTAATATATATGTGAAAATATACAGGAATGCAATTGATTGATTGATAAATTAACAAGAGTGCACACGCTGAAATGTCTCGCCTTCTTTACTAATCATTGATATTATGTTGATAGTCCTAAATATAAAGCTTTATTACAACTGTCACATAAACTTAACATTAACCAAGTAAACTAAACATTGACCAATGAACCATGAAAATGAGGTCAAGGTCAGATGAACCATGCTAGGCAGGCATGTACAGCTAACAATTCTTCCATACAACAAATATAGTTGACCTATTGCTTATAGTTTAAGAAAAACAGACGAAAACACAAAAACTTAACACTGAGCAATGAACCTTGAAAATGAGGTCAAGGTCAAATAAAACCTGCGTGACTGACATATAGATCATAAAATATTTCCATACACCAAATATAGTTGAACTATTGCATATAGTATTAGAAAAAAAGACCAAAACTCAAAAACTTAACTTTGACCACTGAACCATGAAAATGAGGTCAAGGTAAGATGACACCTGCCAGCTAGACATGTACACCTTACAATCATTCCATACACCAAATATAGCTGACCTATTGCATGCAGTATTAGAAAAAAAGACCAAAACTCAAAAACTTAACTTTGACCACTGAACCACGAAAATGAGGTCAAAGTCAGATGACACCTGCCAGCTAGACATGTACACCTTACAATCATTCCATACACCAAATATAGTAGACCTATTCCATACAGTATAAGAAAAACAGACCAAAACACAAAAACTTAACTATAACCACTGAACCATGAAAATGAGGTCAAGGTCAGATGACACCTGCCAGTTGGACATGTACACCTTACAGTCCTTCCATACACCGAATATACTAGACCTATTGCTTATAGTATCTGAGATATGGACTTGACCACGAAAACTTAACCTTGTTCACTGATCCATGAAATGAGGTCGAGGTCAAGTGAAAACTGTCTGACGGGCATGAGGACCTTGCAAGGTACGCACATACCAAATATAGTTATCCTATTACTTATAATAAGAGAGAATTTAACATTACAAAAAATCTGAACTTTTTTTTCAAGTAGTCACTGAACCATGAAAATGAGGTCAAGGACATTGGACATGTGACTGACTGAAACTTCGTAACATGAGGCATCCATATACAAAGTATGAAGCATCCAGGTCTTCCATCTTCTAAAATATAAAGCTTTTAAGAAGTTAGCTAACGCCGCCGCCGCCACCGCCGGATCGCTATCCCTATGTCGAGCTTTCTGCGACAAAAGTCGCAGGCTCGACAAAAACAAATACAATAGGTAGGTTCTGTAATAGGGATCAACTAGGATAAAGTGCCTGAAATTTGATCTACCACTGTAAAATGATAGTATATTGGATAGGGACAGATATTTATCCTTGCAACAGGCCATCTATGGACCACTCAGAGAGTTGTTACAAAGGTTATGCAGAAAGCATGGCACTCTTTCTACACCAACCATCTGTTTAACACCACCATTCTGATCAGATGTGGACTGCATATTTATACATCTTGCACAACCAAGCAGACACCCCACTTTGGCAAGGATTTTAATACCAGTAAAAAGAGATCAAAAGTGACCATAATTCTATTCTGCAGTCTCCCTTGGAGATATAAATAATGTGAAAAATCTTAATACTTCCATAATTGGAGACTCGAGATGCACAACTTCAATACATGAACATACTTTTGTGAAGTTTATGACTATACAAAATTGGTACCCACTTCAAAAATTTTTACTGAAAAGTTGAACTATACAAAATTGGTACCCTCTTCCATAATTTTTACTGAAAAATGACAAAGTTCTCATGTTAGAAAAAGTGGCAGTATGTCAATTTCTTACCAAAAAGTTTGACCAATCATGTGGGAAGTGGCAGTGAGTCAATTTCATTCCAAAACTTTGAACTGGTCAGTACCAGCAGGTCTTGCTTAAAATGAATGTCTTTCAAACACAAATGTTGTGAAAATTAAAATTGGCAAAAGAGGACCAAACATTTTATCTACCACTTGATCATTGAAATTTTCTAGTAACCAATATAACTGAATTACCACATGTAATCCGCTGATACCAATTGACCGTAATTCTATCTACTCAAACCTAAAGCCAAATAAAATCTACTCAAATTCAAGTTGACTTTCTCAATTTTAAAGCAAAACTGTCATAAATTTTATTCTGACAATTAGTTGATAACAACTTGTGAACATATTTTAGTATCATAAACTATGCACAGTAGTAAATGAAATCAATAATCCACCCCCTGATACCTTTGAGATAATCCTTTAATTCAACAGGCTAACAGTTTCTCACATTGAACAAAAATAATACTAAACATGGCTCTCGTCTTACTAAACCAAAGCCATTAATATAAAATATTTATGAACTAGGGTCAATTACTGTAATTGCAATGGTTGAATTTAAACGAAGGATCAATTCCCAATTGTTGGTAGTACTTGCTTACAACTCGTAAACAGAATGCTTTTCAAGCAAAATTCTTAATCAATTGAGCAACATGAAAAATTGAACAGGGTTGATTAGCTGTTATTGTCCAACAGGATTGAACTCGTAAAAGTTTTTACTTCCGCAATTTCTATACATAAGACAAGACTGGATATTCACATAGTACGGCAATCACATACTGAACAAAATATAAGATGAACACAAGAAAATGATGCTGTCATTGCTTAATTGATGTTTCATATATAGTTCACTCAGTATATACATATGACATTGATAAAGCAATCAACAATTCATACTATAATGTGTAACTAGTCCTCAAAAGAATAATGGATATAAACAATATTCCCAATACTGTACTTCAGAACCTTAATCCCAAACCAATCTACATCGTACAAAGCCCTAGACACTGAATAAAACATTTGCCACAGAAATCGAATATTCATCAAGGCATGGAAAAGGATTCATCAATTAAAATCTCTTACAGAAATCAACAATAAAAACATTTAATGAAGGTTGTGGCAATCACGTTCACACAATTTACAAAGCGTAAACAGCACAGTTACGTCAACTGTATGTGTAAACAAAATCAGTATCCCATTAGACTGATTTGTTTTGTGAAACGAGGCTATAAATCTATCATATGTTTGCTTTTCATTCATAATATTTAATTGTCAAAGGATGAAACATACATAATTAATCTACATAATAAAGGTAACTGTTGAGGAACCTAGTAATTTGTAAATGTGTTTTCTCATCTTTCCAATTTAATGCAAGGTAAACTATACAAAATTGAAAGAAAACTTCACCATATATATTTTATCCTTCAAACAAGATAACTGCATATAGATATAAGATTTATTCTACAGGGTGTAATGATGCATATTATTATTATGACCAAAAATTAAAAATCCTTTTTCTGATCGTACACCATATTTGATCTGATTCCAAATAGTATAAACAGCTATGCCATGAGCGCATGATACGCCCATCGCATTTTCAAAGAATAAAGTTCAATCATTTCTCAATGTCATATCAGAAATTTATGAAAATTGAAAGGGAGCTTTTGTCAATAGATTAAAACAATTCATCAAAGTTTCATGAGAACTGCTGAAAGCATTTTTGAGGTTTTGTCCGAAAACTGGAAAACCCCACCTTTTTTAATGAATATAAAACACCATAACTCGGAAACGTAAAATCTAAAGTTTATAAAATTCCAAAGAGATCTTACATCAATAGATATAAACAATTCACCAAAGTTTCATGAGAACTGCTAAATGCATTATGGAGTTATTGTCCGAAAACTGTAAACTGCCCCTTTTTTTAATGAATAAAACCCCATAGCTCAGAAATGTAAAATCTAAAATCTATGAAAATAAAAAGGGAGCTCATGTCAATAGATATAAACAATTCACCAAAATTTCTTGCAAATTGGTGAAAGCATTATGGAGTTATTGTCCGAAAACTGGAAAATCTCCCTTTTTTTAAAAAATAAAACCTCATAACTCGGAAACGTAAAATCTGAAATTTACAAAAAAAGAATGGGAGCTCGCGTCAATAGATATAAACAATTCACCAAAGTTTTATGCAAATTGGTTAAAGCATTTTTGAGTTGACGACAGACGGACGGACGGTATACCATAATACGTCCCGTAAGCAGGCGTATAAAAACAGAAAATAGGAAATTGTGAATACTGTTGATTCATTTATTTTGCTTTTACCAATTTTCCCAAAGTCTGAAGACAAGTCTATAGAAAATTAGAACTTTATTGAAATTTTAAATTAGTGGTGTACCCATATCCACGAAATCCTTCAATTTGGTATACTATCTTACAAAATATAGTGAATTCACAGTAGGTTTTTTTTTTTTTTTTTTTCAAAAGCAGTACATTTTCATTTACATTTGTTTAATGAAAACTATTGTCATAAAAATAGGAAAAGAATTCAAAACTAAACTAGAAACATCTACCTTGCTGGAAAAAAAATTCAGCTGAATAAAGTGAATTTAACTGAAAACAGTAGGTCAAAAAAGAAAACTTTTTAAGAATGTTACTTTTGGAATATAGCAAAGGGTGTAACAACAAAGGAAAAGGATAATATCAAATAATGACCTCCACCTCTATTCTACAAAAAGCAGTCATGATTGCTGCCCGTGAACTTTACCTCTATCTGTCTCGGCTAAATCTAAGCCTCCAAGAACGCTGGAGTTGACTTTTGCACTTTGGTTATTCTTCTTTCTATTTAGGTAATTCTGTGTGTATGAGCCTAGACAATAGCAGAGCAATGTGTATTAGTAATGTGCTCAGTGAAAACAACATTCAACACTGGTAACTGAAAGCATTAAAGTTGTGAAAATTGAATGTACCCTTTTCTATCTTCTGACTAACTTGATATCAATTACTTTTTTCATGAAGGACAAGGTGGGGTAAGAGGATTATTTGGTCTATTTAGATCACATGCAAGTAACTATAGAAACAACACCTCTTGAAAAATGCTTTGGTACTTGCATGTGCTCATTATTTCTCCTACAGCATTAGAAAATCTTGAAGGTCTTAGTTGATTTGAAGACAAAAAAAGGCCTAAACGAACTTTATTTCAATGTTAAAAACAGGAATCATAGTCCAAGAACTTTCATTTCTTCAGTGATTGTAATAACCCATGTGGCCAAGGATATTCAGAACATTGTTCGCTAAATTTATTCAATGTATATATCTATTTCACTTATTCTAAGCTGATTTATCCTTTTTAAACTCTTTGATTTTTCTTAAATCAACAAGTGGTTTGTTTGATCTCAGTTCTTCATTGGCCAAAATTTTCTTGCTTTCCTCTGAATTTCTGATTGTGATGTCTATAAAAAAAAGGTAACCATGCCAGCTGACATCATGCAGAAAGAACACATCTTTTTGGGAATCATTGACAAAAAAGGAAAAGTTTGTCCATATATTATTGTATAAAAATCATTAGATAAACAGATTCCACATCTGAATCTCGTCCAATACAACATCCCTCCACTCTTGACAGTTAATATTTAAATATTTAAAACACTTGGCATGCCTTACATTTTCAATTTGAAATTTTACTGTCTCCAGTGGAGATATAGTGTATCACACTCGCTGCAGTGGTAGAATTTATATATATAATATACAGGAAAATCTTGCTTCTAAATTTTTTGGTGATCTAACTATCCTGTAAACAATATATATTTATTTTCATGCCTTTATAAAAGAAATGATTCAAAACCAAAGATAGCTACATTCATTTTTTTCAACCTCTTTTTAAAAAGCCACATTCTATTAGTTCTTTCAGTAGACATTATCATATCTTAACATTAAAATTAAATATAAGAATTTTTAAATTAAAAATAATTTTGAAATTTTAAGCAAATTTAACCAAACTGAATAATGAAAGAACACTTCAATTAGCATGACGCATATAAAAAAAAGTTATTTGAGCTTCTAAATATTATGAACTGTTTACTTTTACTCAAACATTCCAAATTAATGTCTGAACAGCTATTCAAAAACTCTAAGAGTGCAAACAAACGACAGTTTTTACAACTTTTACAATACATATATACATACATTTAAAGAACATTAAAGTAAGATAAGTGAATGTGAGCATCTGCTATAATGTTAAAGAAGCATGATGCGAAAAAGCTTAGGTAGATAATGATTTATATATATATATGCCTTAGAACAAACTAATGCATCAACTGTTGTGTACATGCAATGCATACATTTCACATGCAAAGTATTAACTTTATGTACAAATATTCACAAAGATCAAATTTTTGAAATTAAAATGCAGGCCATATTTTAATGAACACAAGCGGTTACAAGCATACAAAACAATCATTTCTGCTGCATTTTGTAGCTTCTTAGCATGTTTTTCCTGTGTATAAAATTCTAATGCCACTGATCTGAAAATGAATTCTTTTTAGAGGTTCTTGTGCCTAAACAAATTCTTAAGTTTTCAATCATATTGACAAATATGCTAACCATACTCACAGAATATATGCTTTTTTAGTATGTTAAAACAATTCATCTTTCAGCTATTAGGAAAATTGTCAAACTGCAGGAATTTGTCCATTTTGCAGAGACCATAAAAAGAAGATATATTGTGGGTCTTTCTTATTTTGCTTACAAGAATTGGTAAAAACTCAATTATATAATTTGCATCATTACAATGAAAATATATTGTTAAAATTGTTTTGAAACATTATCCCCTGCATGTAATTACTTTTTTTAAAAAGATCAAAGTGAATTTTTCAAATGCGTCACCTGGAAATTTCATTATGGTTAGCACCTGTTCACCAAATTGTGTAGACCCTCTTATTTAATTATATTTGTATTCTTTTGCTTAACTGACAAAATTTGCATAGTCATGGATCAGACTGCAACCCATGTCGTTTTACAGTGGATTTGTACTTTAAAACAATAACTTTTAACAAAATATCAAATTAACAAACATTTGCACTAGCACTACCATTGTCCTTCCTTAGCTAATTTTGAATGATTTTGTATATTAGTAGCTATATTTATAAGCAGAGTAGAAGTCAACACAGGAAATAAATTCTACTTCGTAGACAATAAAAATTTTCCCTCCCCTAAATACATATCAGCCTAGACTAGTAGTTATGTAATAAATTTGATGTTACATGTATGATGATTGTAAAACAATAATATTAGGCATTCTAGCTGTTACTTTTTCAGTGTTAGTATGCTTAATTTACAAAGAAGAATACCAAGGACATTTCAACTCCTTTCAAAATTTTGAAATGACCATTGGTTCTAAAAATTGTCATATCTATTGAAACTGTTATAACTTAACCCAAACATTGCAGTGCTTTCCCTATTTTGCAGTCATCATTTAATGTGAGGAACTGTCACACTAGTACTTGGTAAGTGGGAGAGGTTATCAAATACCTGGTACTTTAAAAAGAGTATTTACAATAAACTTTGGCCTTTCATACCTAAATGCCATCTATTAGTGGTTTTGACATCAATATAAGCAATACTATTCTAGGGCAAGTGCATTCCAAGCCCTACTGACAGGACATGCAGATGAAACGTTGGTTATAACATGCAGTATGCTAGCCTTTTGCCTTTCATTTATATGTATGCATGCTATCCCAGCTGTCTCTGATCCAGGTACAAAGGAAGTAACAAATCATCATCCCATTGTGGGTATAGTGATGAGGCAATTTGTGTTTTAGTTTGGTTCAAAATACTATATTTCTTTAAAATTACTAACTTTAACAAATATATAATACATGCTGATATTTATAAATACATAGTTTGCCTAAGTAATTAAACAGTTATTCAGTAAAATTAAACTTCTACAGGAAAAAGCATCATGTACATAGTCTCCACTTTATACGATTTAAGCTTTCCTTTGCAAAAGTTACATAATTATAAGGCAAAACAGTTTCAGAGCTTTAAATTAAATCAAAAAACTTTGACAAAGTTTTAGAAAAATTATTGGAAGCAACAAGTGCCTTTTCTCCCTCATGCCTCTCTCTGATTCCTAGTCTGGGTTTAGCTTAATGTTTGGTCATTTTTGGTTTTATCAGCTCTACAACGTTTGTATAAGGATTTTCAAATATTTGGCCTCGAGCATCACTCAAGAAACATTTATTATTAAAATGCCCATCTGGTGCAGTAAAATTGGTACCCTTAATGTTATTGATAAGTATAACTACACTAAATTATAAGACTGTAAGTCACTAAGGAATGAATTTGAACAAAACACTTCAGTGAAGCATCAAATATAGGTTAAAATGACCAATTTTTATTTGGAGTCAGGGTCAAGGCTTCCAAAACGGTCATATATTCCGGACATTTGTATAATGTCCGGTAAAAGTCCGGCTGGGCAATGCACGAAACGGTCATCTACTTTTTAGTTTTCAAGGCTTTTTTAAGAGACGGTCATCATAATTTTTAACATAATTCGCGATCTTTTTGACCCAACCTTTTGCCTTTAACAGCCACACATTTCCGGTCATAAAAGTGACATGATCATTAAGTACTATCAAAACAACCCCTACTTTAATACCTTCTCATTTTAATCAAGGCTAATTAGTTGTCGAACAATTTTTTTAAAACTATTTTGAACCGGACATTGATCGGTCTGTTCAAAGTTATTTTCTTACTTTTCACCGGTTTGCATCTAATTAATGTAGTTAAAAAGATTTAAATTATCAGAAATACATTTACAAATATGATTTGATGAAAAAATTAAAAAGGTGAAAAATGAAAAATCGTCATGTTGTTTGAACCAGAGACATGTCTCTGTTTGAACTAATAGACGTGTGCGCATGTGCTCATGTGTGAAATTTAATTATGCATCAATTAATCAATTTCTTCAAAAAATGCTTAAATTGTCATTGATACCTTTATCTCACTTTTATTTCGAATATTTTCTTGAAGAAATAACATAGAATGAGCAACTTATACACTCATTCATGCTTTGCAAACGTACACGGATTTACGTATCCATCTCTGGTCCATGTTTTACCATTGTCAAGATAACATCCGGTAGATTTAAAAACGAAAGTAAAGTTTTTGACAACGTTATTTTGCACAAATAAAAAGTCTAAGGCAGATATAAGTACGGTGATGTTGCACACTTCTAATGATGCACTGCCAATTTAACAGTTTACGTCAGAACTTCGAATTTGAATCAAAGAAAGTTTAATATCGTTTTTTTTTTTAATGTCAATCATTGGGATGGCCAACTCGGCAACTGATTACCATAATTGCCTTTTCTTTATTTAGTCTTGAGGGATTAAAATCGGGATAATATATAAAATGTCCGGCTGGCTAAAAATAATTTTGGAAGCCCTGGTCAGGGTATGTTATATAAATTTACATAAATGTGAAAATTAATGCAACTAAATATCTTTTGATAGCAGCTTTCATGTGAGGACCAGGGCAGTTCCTTAACTATTTTGGACAAATGCATGAAATTTTTTTTGAAATATATGGATTTAAATTTTTTTTAATTCAATTGACTATGAAGACTATGTACACTCTTGATATTCATGAGGACATAGAGGTCACTCTTATATATAGATCCAACAGATTTCAAAGCGACCAGCTATCACCTATATCTCTATTTATAATTTTCAGCAAAAGTCCATCTTAGTTTATAGTATTTTGAACCAGGAGAGTGCAAATTACACTTGGAATTTGTGTAATTGTTTAATATAGGGAACCAATTGTCCACAATACTGATTTTTGTACCTGGTTCTTGCTGAGCTTCTTCTACAGCATTAATTCCCACTACAGTTATTCTACGTTTAGGGACACGTTTACCATTGCTATTACTGTCTTGTGATGGTCCACTATCTTCACTCCACATGTGCCTAGCTTTTGGAGGTCCATCATTGAACAACTAAAATATATAATATTAATTATATAACAATAATAATTAAATTATAATTTCTTTTTTTTTTTGTACAACAGTCTTACTGCAAACATTCACCATTACTTCATTTCTACCAATCAAATGATGAAGTCTAGTATAAAATAAAAATGTATATTTATTGATGTATAAAATTGGTTGTTTTTGTCTTTATTTGAAACTTGAGTGCAAAAAGACTATCTTTGAATTTGAAAATAGACTAGCTTTTTTCGTTACTACAAGCTTTTTTAATAACATTAATCATTAAAATACTATATTTTCCTGTAAAATTTTGATTTTAAATGAACATTTAGTGGGTTTTTTTACCAGGAAAATGTGGTATTTACATTGTGGATGCCCTCTTTGAGCATTCTACCAAGTTACATTTAGCATGAAAGGTTCTACAATTTCCCTTTCATATTATAATGGATGCTCCCATTTTAGCTTTATGAAGCTGTTAACAAGGTCAAAGTTCATGTATATAAACAAATATTAGTTGCAAAGAAAGTGGAATTGTTAAATCTGTTTGAATACAGGTCACAAGCAGTTTACCCATTACAAAACTCTACAGTGACTTTTTAAAAATATTCTAAAGTTGAAAAATAAATAATTTTGCTAACAGAGACCATACTTAGAAAAAGAATCAATTGTGATGTTTAACAACATATCTATTTACTGCAACAAAATCATTCTTTTGTTCAAAGAAAAATCAGACTATGAAAATTGTTGCCTTTTAATTTGTTCAGGTTGTTTCTAAAGCAAAAATAATTTATACATAATATCAATATTATATTTTTTAAACGAGAGCAGAATTTACAATGACAGATCAACAAAGACCTTTTAAAGTCACAACAAAGGAGATCGGACATGTTCTTTTTAAAACTCACAACTGTAAAAATATTGACTAAATATTTGATCTCTATTGTTATACAGTAAGGATTTAGTTGAGCTAATCTAATTTAAATGATATCGTTACAATCTTTGAATAGATTACTGCAAAATTATAATAGATGTTGAATAACAAGTTGTTCCTTTAACAGTGAAACCTGTCAAAAACAAACCCTGCACATTCCCAATATTCATCTAAGCAAACCCTACATAAAGTAGGAACATGTCAAAGTATCATTGCATGTCACTTAATTTTACCATAATAGACAGAACACATATGTTGAAATTCAAACAGCACCTTTGGGCTCACAAGGGGTTCAGTTTAGGTAGATTTTACAGTAAAATCACATAAAAATGAAACCATTTCTTCACAAATGTAATCATACATGTACATGTCTCTCAGAAGAACAGCCTATTGTAAATTCACAAACAAAAAAATTGCAAGAAAATAATAATTGGTCATTTGAAAGATTACCACTAATTATTAGTACCTGTATAAATGAAAACAAATGTACAGAAAATAAGATAACTTCTAAAAAAAAAAACTTTCCTCTAGCTTTAATGTTTTTATGAGAGTGATATTGTGTGTTAAAAGTATGAATGATTGATTGATTGTTGGTTGGTTGCAGAACATCCAGAGGCAAATATTTCATGTATGTTTAGTGTTAAAAGTCGCTGCATTCAATAATTATATGGACATGTATATAAATCTGTCACTTTGCTCAGTTTCACTTTACTTTGGTTATCTTATTAATCATTAAATTACCAGTACAATATACATGTATATAGATGTTTCTCAAGAGTCCCTACTTTTGATTTGCAGACAATTATAACCATGAGGCATTACAAGAATATATTTCATTTCTTAATAGAATGCAACATGACTGCATGTGCACTCCATGACAAGATTACAACAATGCAAAAGGTAAACAAAAGTAAAGCTTGAATTAATTAGTAATTAAGTTATAGCATGAAACTGTAATTGAAGTCTTCTCTTTTGTCGTTAATTTTAGTTCTTAATAGACTCTCACTGTCAATTTCAAAGTATAAGTCAAGGTACATGTATGAAGCAGACCAAACTGATTGATTAATTTTTTATGTTCAACACCATTTTCAAAACTATTGGCTATATTGAGGTGGCCATATTTTATTGTTGGAGGAAGCCAGAGTGCCCAGAAAGAACAACTGACCCTCAAAGGAAAAACCTAACCTAAATTCATCTGTCTTATCCTTAATTTGTAATTTTATGGCCTTGTAAAAGAGTTGATAGTACAATTGTATACAAAATGTGCTTGGATGAACACTTTGAAACCACAATAAAATGACTAAATGAAGCATGTCCTATCCATAAAGAATAATAGAAGTATATGTTGCTTCATATCTTGACATAGACATAAAATTTGACAGTGAAAGTCTGGTAAGAACTAAACTTTAGGACAAAAGAGAAGACTTCAATGTTCTTTTCTTTGTAATAAAGATTTACATCTTTCCATCTTTATGAAGCAGCATTTTAGCAGCATATGGAGTATAAATATTATAGTTGATACAATATTCCAGTGCTTTCATTTCATATCATGATTTCATTGTTAGATTGTCGTCGCTTACAAAGAAACTATTGAACCAAAGGTTCTTAACGCTAGGCACTGTTGTCTTAGTTAGTTTAACAGACACAATTATGGTTTGGTTGACTGTAATGGAATATCTGTGTCACATATGACAATTGATATGTTAAATTTGTCTTAGTCACTTCCCCCTCCTCCTTTCCTCACTTGAGACATCACTAAATGCTATTTAACACTGGATTTTAACTCGTCAGGTCCCACCAGAGAAGTAACTGCTTTCCCTTCTGGAACAGCAGAGTTCACCCCTTGTCATAGCAGCATGAAAAAATTTGTTCAAAAAGACATGTGGACACAGATGATGCCCCCCGCTTGCATATCATATAGTTATAAAGGGACATAACAGAAGAACAGTAAAAAAGACGCTACCCAAATTTGATCTTGATCTGAGTTTTGCGGTAATAAGCATTGTGTGTAAGTCTCATAACATTTGGTTGAGGCTAACTCAAGTAGAGAACAGAAACTAAAAATTCAGCAATTTTTCTATTTGTAAACACGCATAAGTCTAGAACGGTTGTGTATAAGTTTTAAAACATTTGGTTGAGACAAACTAAACAAAAATTCAGCAATTTTTATGTTTTTAAAGGGACATAACTCAAACATGGTAAAAGTGTCGCCACCAAATTTCGTACTTAATCTGTATTATGTAGTAATAAGCATTGTGTACAAGTTTCATAACATTTGGTTGAGGCAAACTTAAGTTACAGAATGGAACTAAAAATTTTGCAATCTTTCAATTTATAAAGAGGCATAACTCAATAATGGTTAAAGTGACACTACCCAAATTCAACTTGATCTGTGTTTTATCAGTGGAAGTCAAAATTAAACATTGCATTGTATAAATCATTGATTGTAGTTGATTCAACTATAACCATGGACAAAGGAAGATAACTCCAATTTTAAAAATTACTTGATATTTAGAAGAAAATAAAAATTTTGCAATTTTTCCATTTATAAAGGGGCATAACTCTAGAACAGTTAAAGTGACACCACCAAAATTCAAACTTGATCTGTGTTTTGTGGTTATAAGCACTGTGTATAAGTTTCATAACATTTGGTTGAGGCAAACTTAAGTTAGAGAATGGAAACTAAATTTTTTTTCCATTTTTCCATTTATAAAGGGGCATAACTCTAGAATGGTTAAAGTAACGCCACCAAAATTCAGACTTGATCTGTGTTTTGTGGTAATAAACATTGTGTATAAGTTTCATAACATTTGGTTGAGGCAAATTCAAGTTACAGAATGGAAACTAAATTTTTTTTTCCATTTTTCCATTTATAAAGGGGCATAACTCTAGAATGGTTAAAGTGACACCACCAAAATTCAAAATTGATCTGTGTTTTGTGGTAATAAGCATTATGTATAAGTTTCATAACATTTGGTTGAGGCAAATTCAAGTTACAGAATGGAAACCAATTTTGGGACGTACATACGTGCGTCTGTAGACGGACAAGGGTAAAACTTAATGCCACCAACCAGCGCTACGACAGGGGCATAAAAATGGTCTACTGAATGTTTCGCTCCATGATAAATTCAGACAACTCTGCAATAACTCAAGAGAACACCGATGAAAAAAAATACTGACCCTTGGACCATCCATTCTTATTATTTGTCCAAGCCAGAATTGAATCTATTTAGAAATACCTATATTGTGACATTTTAAGTGTACAGTATGTTTGAGACAGATTTGTGAGAACACAATTGTAAACCATAAATTCCTCTATTATACAATTAATTCCTATCTTTAAGAGACATATAAAAGTGAACCAGCAAAACTTTTTTCATAATTACCTCTTCATCATCAGAAAGGAACACATCCTCAGCATAGGGTTCAACCCTTCCAATTTTACAAAGCTTCGGTAGACAAGCCCATACACACATTTTAGCCAAGTTTTAGACTTTTAGACATTGAAATATTATCTTCAAACCATCAGGAATATTTCCCCATAATTAACCTCATTTTTCAATTTTTGGTTATTGTTATGATAATCCTGTGTTTGTTGTTAGTTTCTTTGCTAGACTCAGAGCTTATAAGCTGATGACGCAAGTTGATTTCTAATTTATTCGGTAATAAATTATCACAAAAATTATTACTAATTAAATCTATTATATTTTCAGTCAGTTAAAAATCCTGGTTAGCAAGCACCTAAATAAAACTTTTTTGTTCAGATAATAGTTATTGAGCTGGATATCACAATTCAATGCGCTGGTTTAATTTTACACTTGATTCTTTTCAATTTCACATATATGTAAAATCATAACCTCTTGCCTTTAAAGAAAGTATTAATACCACTTTTTTGAAATTCTATATGCTGGAATACATAAAACACTTTGCTAAGATTTACTTGACTTTTCAAAATTTTTCATGGAACAACGGCTTTGCATGGCAATGTATGTATATTAAAAGTCTAATGTTGAAATAGTTATTAGCTCCTTACACCTCAAAGCTTGTGTGATATTCATTTAAGCATATTAATGCTATT